GATTTGTAACAATATAAAATTTATTTAAATAATAAAAAAGATGTGCATGTTACATGTCATTAAATTTCTCCCTTGTAAAAGCCATAAAAAGTAAACATGACATGGAATTAACTTATCATGAGTAACAACAACCTAGTTAAGATTTTGGTTGTTTTTAAGCTTATTCTATTTTTGTTTATATTCTTCTTTATCCTTTTTGTTTGTAATAACGTGAGATAGCTTCAACTTATGATTTTCTCCTTGTTTTTTTCTCGTTTTTCATTGTAAATTTAAAAAAATTTTGTTGAAATAACATATGAACACAATGTTTTTTTCAAATATCTGTTTATCTAGCAGCGTAAATTCAATGTTAGTATAAATTTAAGTTTTTCTCATGCTCTGATTTTCTCTTAATTTTCTTTTCAAAATATTAAAATTGCAGAGTTTCTAGAAAAGGGTCTTATGATATAAATACATATAAGTTAATTTTAATTAGTTAACCTTTATAATGGACTTTGAAGGAAAACCCATTTTCTGTCATCACAATACGAAGGTAGCTAGGTGGATTGCATGGATAAATAGCAATCCTGGTAAAAGATTTTATGGATGCTCACATTATCCCATAAATTTGTTTGTATTTTTATAGTATTTTTGCTGGTATTTTTTTTATATTTTCTTGATGTGATTATAAGTTGGTAAATTTACCAGTATTTTTTTGATATTTTTGTTGAAATTTATTTGTTGATATTTTTTTGGTGTGATTGTAGGGCACTATTTGTGGGTTTTATTTATGGTATGATCTTAAAATTTTTGAAAATGCAAAAGAGATTATTCTATAGCTAAAAAAAAAATTATATAATCATGTTCAAAGTTTGAAATATGAAGTTTTAAAGTGAAAAAAAAATGTTGGTGAAGCTGATGTTATTGTAGAGAATATGTAGTTGAGGAGAGAAGTTAGTTTTTTTAGGTTAAAATTGAAAAAAAAAATTGTTGGTGGTAGACATAGTAGAGATCGCAGTTGAAAAATAATTTGGCTTATCTCATTCTTTTTTATACTTGTATGTTGTGTAATCTTTTTCAATCCTAAAAAAATTTTGAAAACTTAACTTATATGCTTAACAGTGGGTTAGAATAATTATGAGGGTCTATAAATGTTTATTAAAACTCTTATTATATCAATAGTAATTGAATCAATGTTATTAGTTGTGAATTTTGTTACTTTATGTTATTAGCTATGAAAATGTGATTTAGTGCAATATATTCATCTTGCAATATACAACTAGAAAGTAATATAAGACAATATGATAATTAAGGCAATATTATAACAAAGTAATTTGATGAATGTTAACAGAAAGTGTTTTTACACAACATTTAGTATAGAAAACATTCAGCCAACAAAAGATTGAATAGAAAGTGTTCTTATAATATTAATAAGCAAAAAAAAAAAAAAAATTAACATCAGCAGCTAGCAGCAACAGTTAACAGAACATAATAGCAACTTTTTAAATTTTTTGTTTCCCTTTATTTCTTTTAAAGGCAAAAACTTGATTTTTTTTAGTACCAATTTCTCAACAACCTTCCTCATACCTCTGCTTGTCCCAATTGCTATCATTTTCTTACTTTTTAATCTAGACTATTGAATAGCATTTATCAAGTTATAATAGGTAATATTAAGGAAATAAAATAAAAAATATATATGTTTGGTAAAGAATTACTCACATTTAAAATTTGTCTCTCTCTTTCTAAGTTTATTTATAATCCATAACCTTACAAGACTTTTGTCTTGCTTCTAGTGACAGCTCTAATAATATGTTTATCATTGTGACTTTCAAAGCTGTTTGCTAAAATTACTCTCTTCCTGGTAGTTATTGTAAAATAGTTAGACTTTGATAAAAGACTTGTTTTTCCATCAGTCATCCCATAAAATCTCTTATTTTCATCTGTAAAACATCTTTTAATAGATTTTGTTGGCCTTTTAGACTTCAATTTTGCATTTTCAATGACAACAAAAGCAACAACATTGATTGAATTTGAAAGTTTTGTTGAAACTGGAATGGAAAGTGGATTTAAAGCTGAAGTTGAAATTGAAATTGAAATGAAAATTGGATTTGAAACTAGATTTGTTGAAGCTAGATTTAAAACTAGATTTGAGATTTGTACAGATGCAGTTGTAGTTACAGTTGTATATGCAAAATCGTTGATATTAATAGAAGCATATGCATATGTGTAGCCAAATATGGATGTAAAAACAGAAGCTGATGCGAAAGCACCATAAGCAGTAGCATGGTTGCTTATACCATTTTTAACTTTAATATGATCTAAAGCACTTGATACACTTTGGTCCATTGACTAGTCTTCAAATCTGAGCACGTGATAATCTTGCTATCATAAATAAAACAATAAAATTAAACTAATGTATTAGGACATTTTAACAAGAGAGGATCCATAATAGTACAATATTTATAATAATAAATAAAAACAAAATAGAATGAAATTACCTATCATAGGATAACCATTTTTGTTGTGGCTTGTTTGATGATATAGTTTACATGTTATTATCATACCCTTCCTGGATAGATTTATTAAATTGTTGGGTTTCTTTTTCTCGGGTTTATCATAATCCTTTCTTCTGTTGATTTTAAGCCTGCCTAACATCTTTTTGAACTCTGGGGGCAAAACATTATCACTGAAATTGAATAAATGATTGAAATAACTTATCTGGGTGATTAGGATTAATGACGAATTGCTTTGGGCCTAGGAATTTTTAGTTTTTTCTTATTTGTGTTAAATGTTAATTTTTTTTATTAAAAAACTTATCATTTTTTTTTTTAGAATTGTAAAAAAAAAATCCAAATCAGCATGAATTTGCTTAATCAATTGTTTTTTTTTTTTTTTTTTTCATGTTATAATAGTTTGTAACGTGCACATCCTTTTTATCATTGAAATAATCCTACATTATTACAAGTCGATAACGTTTAATCCTTATTTGAACGAATTAAAATATTTGATCATGAATTGAGCAACTACCCAAATGTTTGATATAAATTTAAGCATTTAGCCAATTATAAATGACATCAAAGAGTTTTAAGTTTCATCAAAGGTTGTTAATATTGTATTGGATAATGTTTTGATTTTTTTAAAAAATATGGTATATACCGATACCAATTATTTTGGCATATTATTTTGAATTTTTTGATTTAATATAAATATATTAATAAACATGTTTGAACTTGTACATTATAATATTATTAATAATCTACAAAACAAATATGCCATATATTCAAAAATCAAATAAATAAGTTTAAAAGCATAAGAAATAATATTATAAAATTTTTATGATATTTTTAAATACTTAATTTGATTATATGATATTTAAATACGTATTTTTATATAAATATTAAGATAAAAATAAATAGATAAAAAATTAATCAAGGCTTTATAATTGTTAACTTTTATAAAAGGAATATAATTGCTTTCTTGAAAAAAATTAAAATACTTATAAACTTAGGTTTGAAAAAATAAAATATAAAATTATAAATTGTAGTTTGAAAAAAATAAAATAAAATAAAAAATAAAAAAAACTCAACTTTTAAATGTTATTTTATCAAATAATTTTATTTTTATTAGACTAAAAATAGTTAAATAATAAAAAATAAATTAAAAATTATAAAATATATTTTATATTTACTTAACGATCCAAACATATTATTCCACTAAAATTCATTGTGAAACTAATTAAAACAATCAATATTATCTGGTATCAAATTTAACACAAAAAATTATTTTTAAATATATTATATTTTGATATAATTAAAACATATAGATTGATACCAAAATAAAATTAACAGATATAATTTCGTCACCAAAACTTGGGAAATTCTTTCCAACTTTTAAGTAAACTATAGTATTATTACCTACAAGTTTGTCAGTCTCGAACTAATCAAAGAATAATTAATCTTGATGTAAGCCAATCTGGATGATGTTTTTTAAAACTCCATTTGGATCTCACCGAACCATTCGAGGTGCGATTTGCTTGCTTTTTTCTCTTCAAAAGTAGTATTTGTTGTTTGGATTTCATTTTGAGGTATGATTAGAGACAGTGACCAACTAGAGCTAAAAGCTCAAGTCAAAATTTGTAGTCTCATCGCTTTTTTTTGTTTAATTTTATCTTTAGATTTTTTTTTTCATTTTTGCCTTGTAATTAGAAGTTTTTAATATTTATTTTTTTTTTATTTTATTATATTATTATTTTTTAATCCACACACATACTTTATCATTATTTTTAATTTTATTATTATAATAATTAATCTCTCTTCTACTACTATTATTTTTAATTTTATCAAAACTAATTTTATTATATATCCAAATGAAGCTTAAGTAGGGGAGGGGTCCAACGGATCATCTTCTTATACAGATAATAAATTACAGATAAATCAAGATTATTTTCAGTCAAAATTGAATCAAAAGCTAACTTAAATATAATAAATTGGCCAAAAAAAACTTAAATATAATAGTTTTAAAATATATTTTTAAAACATTCGTTACTAAAATTAGATTTGGACATATTCGTGGGTGAAAAAAAACTTACATTAAAAAAATTTTCTTGATTAGTTGAGAGGATAGTCCTTTTTTAGATACATGTGAAATAAAAAATATAAATGTTCTTATTTACGTATTTTCATTATAATTTTGTTTTTATTTTTCAATAATTTCTTCAATAAAATTGATATGATTTAAAATGTAACATCAAATAAGCTCAAATTTTTAACAATATATACTATAATAGTAATATAAGTATAGATTACAAAATAAAAAATCAAAAACAAAAAAACTCTTAAGGAAAGGGTAGTGTTGGCAATCTAGAAAAGTTTTAGTCATTCCTGCAGAACTCACGGGGAATAAAGACAAACAACAACCCCGGGTCCCAACCATCAATCAGATGACACTGGACAGACTGTGATTGATGTTTAAAATTAAGTATTTTAGAAGAAAAGAAAGAAAGAAGGAAAAATGGTGTAATTTTTTATGGCTCTGAAACACAGTCTGGACCAGATATATATTGATATTCATAGCTTAAAAGGAAAAAACAAATATATCCAATTTTGTTTGTAATGTTCTTTTTTGGCTTTTAACTGATAAGAAAGTTTAAGTGGATTTATCAATGATCATATCATTTCCCCAGCCTGCAAAATCTGATCTCTTCTGACTCCTTTGCATTTCCTTCCTTTTTAGTCTTTTTGTTTGCTATTTTCCCACAATCATGCCCCTCGATTCCCACCCCTCTTTTCCAATATCTAATATTATCCTCAATTTATTCTTTTTTATTCTTTTTTTTTTATATAGTCAATAGTATATTCTTTTCTTGAAATCTGAATAAGAAGAAAAAGGACATTTTTTAATCATCTGTTCATGTTGTCCCTTGTCATTGAGGTTTTCTTGGTTGTCATGATGGTGATGGGTTGGCTTGCTTTTGGTTCATGGGAATTCAGTCTTTTCTAGATTCTTACTCGTACATGATATCAATTTTTTTTTTACCTTGTTTCTTCTTTATTTAAATTTTCTGTCTTTTTCTATCCTGGGTCTTGCTCAGAATTCAGGTTTCTTTGGTCATCATATGGATTTCTTGTGGCAGGCAAATGCAGATTTCAAAGCAAGGTTAGACCTTTAGCCAATTTCCTCTTCTTCTGTCTCTCTCAACAATACTTGGTTTTTGCATTATTCGTATTTTCCTTTGGATTATCTGTTGGTTTCTTTTGTTAGGCTGACAAAGATAAAGAGAGAAGATTTATTGGTTTTTTTCTATCTTTTGTGAACTCTTATTGTATGATATCAGATGGCCTTGCTCTTCTCCTTAGATTTGAATTGAACTTGTTTTACATCTATTATAATCAAGCATTCGATTTTGTCGTGCTTAAATTTATTCTAATGAATTTTTTTGCTGAATTATGCAGATTCTGACATCCAAGAGACGTTTTGGTGTCTTACCAACTCTAGATACCTGTAATTTCCAAGGTTGTAGTGATTATAGGACTTGGCATGTGCTAAATCTGTGTTAAATTCTCCTATGATCTCTTTCAATGATGTTGGTTTTGAGAAGCCTGTAAGCTTGTGAATTTTGAATGGACCTGTCCTCCAACTGTAAGCCTTCGAGGTTATTCGGTTGCCATTTGACTTCTGTAACATGCAAATGTCTTGCTTTTGTCACAATTGCTCTGTTTTTCAGAGCTATCTTGCTTCATTCATTCTCTGGCTACGGTGTGGTTGAATGGAACAATCTAGACTTGATTTCAAGACCTTTATTGTTGAACTCTGATGATGGGATTCGTAGAGAGAAGTTTGTGGAGGTTCCTCAAATTGTGTGGGGACTAAATAATCAGAAGATAGCATTTGCAAGATCTTGTCTTACTGCTAGAATGCTTAACCGAACTCTTTTGATGCCTAGCTTAAGTGCTTCACTTTTCTACAAGGAAATTGACCGCTTGAAGCCTATTTCCTTTGATAAAGTCTTCCAATTTGAAAAGTTTAATTCACTTTGTAATGGGTTTGTGCGATTGGGTCGTTACTCGGATCTTAAGAATCAAACAGGAATATATGATCTCCAGAAGGGAAGTGGAAGAAAGTGGACAGTTGAGAGAGACCTGGAGCAGTTGAAGCAAAGCAGCAAAGGTCCTGTTGATAAGCATGAAGTGATTAGATTTGTTGGAAAGAATCCGTTTCTTTGGCATGATCATTGGCCTGTTAAGGACTATGCAAGGGTCTTTGAGTGCTTGGTTTTGGTTGATGAGATAGCAAAAGAAGCAGATAAAGTTGTGTCCAAGATTAGGCAGATAGGAAGAAAGCTTCGGATCAAAACTGAGGCAGTTCAAAACAATTTTGATGCGGAGGTTTCTTCACTGCCACCGGCTCCTTACGTAGCAGTCCATATGAGGGTAGAAATAGACTGGATGATTCACTGTAAGAAACTAGAGCAAAGATCAGGCATAAGCCAAATTTGTAGCAGCAAGCAAGAAATTATGGAAAGAGTGGGGAACATTGCCAGATTAGAATCTCCCACTGTTGTTTATCTTGCTGTTGCCGATAGCCTCCTTAACGATTCTTCAATATTGGGTGGTTGGAAGAAAGGATTGCTTCTTTTTGAGAAGAAAAAATTAGCGGTTGATGGAATTTACAAGAAGCATCCATATCTCATTCAGTCAGCAATTGACTATGAGGTGTGCTCAAGGGCTGATATATTTGTGGGCAACAGTTTTTCCACTTTTTCTAGCCTCATAGTTCTTGAGAGGACACAAAAAATGATCAGAATGGGCATCACAAGCACATGTGACATCGATGTTCGGTGGCCATCTTATGCATACAACGTACCCGGGGAATTAAACCGGCCTAAGAAATGGATGACTAATATGTCTGATGCAAGTCTCAAAGCAATTAGTTATGGTTCCAATGCCATCTCATGTTGAAGTTTATCGCATACTATATGTATCTTTCGCAGCTTTTCCCCAGTTGCTGATCATATTATCACTGCATGTTCAGCATTTTTGAACCCATTTCATCCTGCTGGTTGAATGGATTAAAGGATATAGTGAACATATCAAGATACAGCTGAATACCGAAATAATAGGTACAGTTTTCATTTTTGTAATTTTGGTGTTTTGCTCACTTTTTTTTTGATATATGTCACTTGTTCTTAGCGAACATATTCATCTTGAAGCCATAGTCCAAAATTTTGCTTATTTTTTGCTTAATATCCTCAAAAAAATTCATTTAGTTACTGGTTTCTATTGACAATTGAAAAGATGTAGTCTTTACACCGATTCTTGTTGTTGGATTACCTTCAAACTAATGCTCTATATGATCTTAATCTTTTATTAATTTTTTTGTACAAAAGAGGCCATTATCGGGTGTTAAATTTTGAATTTCAGAGTTATTGGATGTTATCTCATAAGTATATGATTGCAGTAATCAACTAAGTTAAGTTTTGGATTCCTGTTTTGCCAAACCAAACTAAATCTTTTCTCCTAATAAGCGTGATCTATTAGCTTTTTGGGGGTCATTTGCTTTAGTTTAGTTATATTCTTTTTGTTCTGTCCGCCATTAAAGGATAGGAACAGAGTGGAAAGGTAAAGTGAATGACCACCCTTTGTTGTCTCCACTAGAATCAAAGATTTTGTTTTCCCCTTTTGTGTAGGTCCAACATTGGCCTCCACTACGACTGGTCATTTTTTGGCTCAATTCGCGTAATTCAGTTATGTATTATGATGTTAAGAGTCGTATTAAAGGAATTTCATTACTTTCTTTTTTTTTTTTCCCAGCTAAGGCAGTAATCTGTTTGTCCCTGTAGTTTCACCGCCATATATATACCCAGAAGAAAGCTCTCCCATGGCCTGCCTGTTATCAGTACAAGTGAAAATGAAATACTAGTGCTGTTAAGATTAAATAAAAAAAAGATGGTGGGTGGATGCACTAGGAGATGAGAGATGGTTAAAATAGACGTGCCAGTGGCACCCCACAGAAAAATAAATTATGAAAAACGAAAGCTTGTTGCAATTTTTACTGTGATGGCATCTATAATTATAAAGCCAGTAATCAGGCGAAAAAACGAGGGAAAATACTGATCATTGAAGGGTGTTCTAGTGAGTGATTCCTGTAGGATAGTAAAAAATTGCATGTTTTTGTCATTCACCTATTGATCTAGTGCCTAAAGATGTTTTATAAAGATTTAAAGGTCCTGATTTTGAGTGAAGATCTCCTTCTGTCCATTCCCTCCTGCCTGAACAAAAAAATAAATAAAATTGCATGTGGTTTGGCTTTGCCTCTGTCTCCAAGTCTTGCTGGAACGACTTCGGAAGGCTACGTTACGTTCATTATTACCTGTTAAGAATCTACAATATGCAGAACATACGAAATAAACAACACAATCTGTAAAAACTTGGATTTCGTTTCAGTTGACGAATGACATAAACCAAGATATAATGGGTATCGCTTGGCAAAATTGATGCCGCCCGTCCATGGTACTAGTCCAGTTCACCAGGCACGAGTGAAATCAAAGCGACAGATCCTGATCTCGTTCCATATTCCAAGCCTATCCTAATTCGATGTTGGAGGCTTGGAACCCATATCTATAACCCAGTCAAACCGGCTGTTGAACTGGTTAAACAGGAAACTGACTCCTCAAATAAAATAGGCCATTGTACGATCCAGTTCAGCTATGCCTATGAGCACAGCCATTTTGTGTGCTAAGTAAGACCTAGATTTAAAAACATTGGACCGCAGTCCACAGTTGAACTGCTATTAATAAACCCCATGAAAATGGCACCGTGGATGGTGGATGGGTAGGCTGCTAGGGATATTGGAACTTTAAAGTTAAACCGCATGGCTTTGCCTATAGGTTAGTGAAGGAAAGTGTGGAGACTTTGGGAGAGAAATTGATGGAAAAGGCCTGCAACACAGCAATTAATGTCACAATTAACTTACCTGTCTATTGAAATGAGCTAGAACATAATTAGCAAAGCTCAGTAAATCCAAAATACTTTCTGCAACTTGAAGAATGTTTAAAGCGAGAAAAAAAAAACAGTATTCCTGTCAAGATAATGCTAACTATTGCATTCATGAGACAGAATGAAAAGACTTGTTTCATTAACTTTTGTTTCAATTTGATGACATTACCAAATGTTTACCCTATTATCCATCTTTTTCTTTCAAGATGAAAGCAACTATCATGCATAGAATCTTCCCCCTAATCTAATACAAAGTCCTCCAGGGTATTTTATCTTCCAGCGTGTAGTTAATGACTAACGAGAACGAAGTGCTGATCTCAAGAACTTTGTGCAAACGAAAATGGAGCCAATTGAGTGAGAAACTCTTTGACTCTCTTGTAAACCTAATTGGACCGATAAGTAATTTATTACCTAACATTGGAATGATCTACACTACCTTCATTGGATATAGTCTTCGTAGTAGTTGTCACTTATTACAGAGACAAATCTCTCAAGCCAAGGAAGCTGATGGAGGTCCTTCATGGCATCTACATAGGAATCTGTACAGCGGGGTGGGGATTGATATGGATGATGGTCACTCAGACTAAAGCCCCCAGCAAGGAACCTTTGGATTAGCGCCAGCTGTGATCTTTCTTGGTCTGAGTAGGCATCCATGATCATAGGGAGTGAATTGAAAGTCTCCCATGCCCATTGTTCTGATTCCTGGACAGAATGCGTTACCAAGTCGTCAGAGTTGTCTTCATCCCAAAAGGCACATTGACAGGTCTGTTGACCATCCCTGTATTCAGCACCACAAGAATAACAGAACTCATGCCTGCACCTGAAAAGTAATGTGAAAGCAAAATTGGTTTAACGAACCTCAAACCATATAATAAACCCAGTCATATTCGACTAAATTGCACATGTGTGTGCAAAACATACAAATAAACTTCTTCACATGTGGACAAACAAGAACTTGGCACGCATACAAAATTGCACAATCAACCAAGTTACCATTCAAAAATAGTCTAATCATATGGGTGCTCATATAATTAGATTGTTGCAGAAAATAAAAAATAACAATTCAAAGATGGTACAAAATGCATGGCCTGTTTTTAGATTCAGGTATAGCAATTAAAATAGTCCCTCAGGAGCAAGCAAGAAAATTGCAACCAATATAAAAAATCTCAGGCAGGAAGGAGATTGGCTTCAAATAATTTCATTTGTCAACAATCAATCTGCCCATTATTTAAGCAATTCCAACGAAGTCACTTCTAATAACCAGAGCACTTATTAAAAGAAGATGGATCTTACCAGCACGTCATGTGGTAGCAACCTTGAGTAAGTTCAATCATCCTATGGCACTGCTGGCAACGCCTCCACCTATTGTTTTGTGCCAAGCGATGTAAGGTAATATCTGCAGCATCTCTTTCCTCGAGAGGGAGGTTCTGATACTCTTCACAACTCATTGACAAATGCCACGGAACTCCACATTCCACACATATAAACCTTTGACAAACTGGGCACTCAACACAGCTATTATCTGATTGACTAGATGAACTTGCCCTAGTTGACAAGCATTCACGTGGATCAAGCAAGACAGAACAATTTGGATAAGGACAGTAGATTCCATCTGAGCGAAGAACATTTGCTTCTGTTTGGGCTCTTTCTAAAGACTCATAGGAAGCCAGTGGAAGAAAAGATCTACACTCAGCAGTGGAGATGTAATACTTGCATCTTAACTGAGGGCACCTGATTGGGACTTGGGACGACTTCAGTTTACCATCCACATAAGTTCTCATACAATGGGAACAGAATTTATGAGAACACTTCATGGTGATCATCATCAATGATGGTTTCTCATCACAGCAGATAGAACAATTTTCAGGAGTGTTATCTCCCTTGGTAGGAGAAGAAACGACTCCTATTGCTACTTGGGCTAGCTGCAATGGCCTCAAAAGATTGATGGTTGGAACGAGTTTCAGAACAAACTCTTCCAAATTACGGGTATGTTCTAGGATTCTTTCCCTCAATGCCATCACAAGTGCATTATCAAGTTTCTTGTCGCATGTAATCTGCCAGAAATTCATGTCAGTAGAGCATAGTACAAGGAATAACATGGAAGTTAATTGGATTACTAAAGATGATGAACTTCAGATCTATTGTCTATAAAAAAATCATTGTGGGTATTTTCCTGAGATTCATCATAAGCAACCACCAACTGTTCCTTTTTCTTAAGTTAAAGGATTTCAGATACAATTAAAACTTTTCATCATTAAGCCATAATGATTGGATACACGTATGCATTTGGTAAATTTGAACATTAAACAGATAAAAGTTGCAAGAAATAGAGTTACCATTACTAGCATAACGAACTTAAAAACTTTAACTACCAACTTTTCAGCATAATTGAAAGTTCTAAGTCTAAAACCGGGAGAGAAAAATTAGCAAAAGCTATGTTCTATAACTTCAAAATTTAAAAAAAAAAAAAGGATACAGTGGATTTGGGAGGTGAGAACCTGCAGCTCTTCAGATAAAGACAAATAAACTTTTATGATGTAGCCAAGCATAAGAAAATAAACTGAAACTTCATATTATAGGAAGATTTTGTGATATCATATAATGAAAGTAACTGTTCTAAGTGCAATAAAAACGAGGTAATCTTTAACGTTTGATACGAAAAGAACATTATGAGGATGCCAATCTTTACTGACCTGATCATATAACATTGCTGAATCAGTAAAAGCGTATACACGGTGGATTTTATTCTCTATAGCCTCTGTCAAACCATCCATTAAAGCTAAATAATCAGCCACGGATTCCTCCACATAAAAGTCAAGCTTTTTCTGCACTTGAATAACAGGGCTATCGGCTGATCTCTCCATGACCACCCCAATTCCTGAAAACCCAGAACTAGAGTCGCCAGTCTCAGCTAAAGAGATGCCCTTGAAGAACATCTTCACTGAAAATTCATCGAACTCTTCCTTTTCTTCTTCCTTTACCACCTCTTCAGTTTCCTTCCATACCTCATCATCTTCACAACAGCTCCGAAAGTCTTCCTCGTCTTCTTCTACTCTAACTTCGCTAACGAATGATACAAAGGACTCATCAGGCAAAACTACTTGATCCTCCATTTTTCAAGACCAATTCCTCCAAATAATCTGAAAACGAGCTCTGCTACTCTTTACACTTCAAGTGATTACTGATATCCAAACCTAAATGACACCAATTAGGATAAAAAAAAATCCATCTCAATTTGCATGTCACTCAAAAAATAAAGAAAGAAAAAAAGTGATCTTTTCTAGCTCATATTTCTAAAACAAAATCCAACAGAACCCATCAAGTAAATTGACCAATACCCCAGATTTTATCACCAAAATCCAGCTGAAATCACAAAAAAAAAGTTGATATTCCGGTTCCTAACCAGAATCTAACAAATACCCATCAACAGATCAATTAAAAGCTCCAAGCTCTGACCAAAAAAATTAAAACTTGAAACTTGAAAAAAATCAACTTCAACAATCCAATAACCCCAGAAAAAAAAGTTAAATCTACTGAAAAATCAATCCCTCCATTATTTTCTACAAAACTACGGGGAAAATAAATTATAAAAAAAAAAAATGGTATCGATCAAATGAAATGAAACTTCCATACCATGGCTTGGAACCTTATCTGGAAGGGAATTTTCGCGCAGTCTTGTGAATGGGTATTAAAGCCCTAATTTTCTGACAAGCTGCTTCGTGCCAGAAAATTAAAAAAAAGAAAAAACTATTTTTATTATTTTACTGAGAATTAGATTAAGACAGGATCATTATGTGGAGAGAGAAAGAAGAAAAAGAAAAAAAAAATCTGGTGCTAATGGCGTAAGAGAATAAGAAAATACTTTTTTTCTTTGTTTTTTCGGCTATTTGTTTTGCTGGCATTCTTTTATTTTTGCTTGACTTTTTCATTTTTCTAGAAATAATGTCACATCTGCAAGGCTAAAACTTTCTAGAACCTTGATTTATGGTCCATCTTTAATTAATTATCTGATTTTTCTTTTAAAAAAAATTCTATCTTTGGTTAAAAATTTTGGATTAAAAATACCATCTTGTCGTAAATTTTTTATTTTTTAATGTTAAATGTGTCTGATGAGATTTAATTTAATTAGTTGTTGGCAAAAAAAATAATTAATTCAAAAAAATGTATGAATTTTTTATAAAAGAAAATAATTTAAAAACAATATGTAAAAAAAAAAAGAGAGAATCAAGTGAGAATTTATACCATTTTTTGTCTCAAATTTAATTCATGGGTGGAAAGTAGTATAGCATTAAGGAAGGCAATTGCATCCAAATTTGGTACTTGACTTCACCTTTTAAGAGAGTTTTTTTTTTTTTTTTGAAAAATCAAGTATCAAGCCAAGTAATAATAGCAAAAATTAAGTTCAGATCGGATTAAATCGGATCAAAATTAAGTTTTAAACAAATTTGATATGATTTGATATATATAAATTTATTTTTTAAATTATTTATTTAATTTTATATTTATATATAATTTTATATTTATATTAAAAATAATATTTTATTATTTTAAAATTAAATCAAATCAAATATAATTTTATACAATATCAACTTGAATCAAATTTAGATATAAAAATTAAAAAATATCATCAAATCAAAAAGAATTCAAATTTTATATATATATATATATAATCAAATTAAATTTGAGACAAACAAAAATCAATTTAAACTTAATCGGTTACCATCCTTTTTCTTTAAATGATTCCTAGCTTTTTTTTTTAGTTCTTGAAAGACTTTCTTTGTCTAGTCTTTTTTTTTTTATTTTAAAATTACGTTTTTTTTAAGTTAAATTTTTTTATTTTTTTATATGTTAAAATTATTATTTATTTATTTATTTTTATATTAAAAATTATGAAAATTTAATTTTATAAAAAAAATTTAAATTTATTATTAAATATATTTAAATTATTTTTTAAAATTTCGTAAAAATCAATATATAATAAATATTTTGAAATAAAAGAAATAGTATTTTTTGTCTCCGTATGATACAATAAAAAATTGTAATCACTCTTTTTTTTTTGGAACACATGGAAACATTGATTTTAAAATTTTTGTTGTAATTCTCCCTCAATCCAACAAATAAAATTACAAAACGTTTGTCTTGTTTCTCCCTGAAAGAAAAAAAACAAACTGTTTGATAATGCAACAAACGAAGATCAAAGATTCCCAGCCAGAAACAGAAAACATTGGCTTAAGAAATCTATGTGCACATGGGTTTTGTCTGTTGGATGAGAATAAAATATGTGACTTCTGTTCTGACTTTTTCACCCCCAATACAAAATTTATTTATTTATTTATTTATAGTAATAAATAAATCTGAAAAAGTAACTGTAGCAGGGTTGAAAAATGAGCCAATAATCATCATACCCACTATCTTTCCTTGTATTTGACTACTCTAATAAAAAAGAATATCATATAAATTAATTGAAATTATTTGGACAGATAAACTAAAAAAATTAACATGAATGCTAATTGTGTTAACCGACTCATGATAATTTTTTATTAGTGTAAATTTTACTAAAAAAAAAAAAAACTAAACTATGGGAAAGAAGGATATTGCATGCTTGGACTTTTGTTATTTATAGCCACATTAAAAACTAGACTTACCAAATTTAAGTCAAAATTAATAGTTCTAGCAGAAAGAGGAATTGAATTTATGTTTGAGGCATGATTTCTTTTCCATTGGATGAGCTTAAAATGAATATTATAGGAGATTGATCACACTACTTCATATTGCATGACAGCTACTAAAGTATGAGTATCTTGTTGGGGATTATGCTCAGCATGTTGCTAGTATGTAGCTTTGGATTTGCTCTTTTTGGTTGGTGCAGGGCTGCAAATCATAAATTTAAAATTTAATTTAATTGATTAATGTAATATTTTTAAAAATAATATTTAATAAGTTTGAAATTTAAATTTATTTATAATTTATTTATTTTTAAAAAATTAATTTCGATAGTTAATGTTATTTACAGCGGTTGGCTCATTTTAATTACAATATCATTTTTTTGGTTTTTGTGTTTGGTGGGTAGGGTTGGTGGCATAGTTTGAAAAACATAGCAGCAAAAGTCAATGGAGATGATAAAGACAAAGTTGAGTAGTGTATCATTGCCTTAAGAAACATCAACTACTCAAAACCAAACTTCATATCATTAAAGGGAACTTTGGTCTATAATTTAGATTCAAGAAGGAAGAAGGCCATGTGAAATTCTTTGCTTGGTATAAATTAGATTAAAGTGATTGGAACTTTGAACTCCTTCCCTTTCTTGGGCCAATGATTGGAACCCGAAAAGAAGGGGAAAGAATATAGATTTTGATTAGAGGAACTGAAAACCTAGTTTTCAAAGAAGAATTAAAGGAACCCCTCCTGAGTGATGGTGTTATTATCTTCTATCCATGTTGTTACCTTTCCTGACAATTTGTTCTTACCAAAGATCAAAGTTCCACTGCACGGTCCTCTACAGAGGACTGTTTTGCAAAGATAAAGGAGTTTTCTCCTCTAAAACTGTTGCTGCTAACGATTAGATATCGAAAAAATGACCCAATTCCACTTTGATGGGTTGAGTCTTGATTATCAATAGCCCTTCTTGTTGGGCCAAGTTCAACCTAATGCTGAATTCATTAGATTGAGCTCTAACCTCCCGCAGCCCTTCTTATTCAAGGCTTTGAGTCCAAGATTTGTCTGCAATTAGCTATGGGGATGATTACTTCCCGTATTCATATTTAACCATTTTGGTTTGGGGTTTTGGGCTTATGTTGTTGTTTTCTCTCCCATTCTTCATTGTTAAAATTTTTCCATGTTTTTTCTTGGTAAACTAATGCTGGCTTATTAGTCATAACCGCAAAGATTAGTAACAATAACAGACGGTTAGATAGCATACAGTTGATTTTATGGCTCTCTGAACCATGGGTACTTGTACAAGTTTCCACTTGCTTGAATTATAACATGATTTTCATCTTGGATTACTGAATGCATGCATTTTCAAGATAACGAAATTCTAGAAAACAGTTTTATTCTGACTGCAGCTCACGAGCTTGACCTCACATTAAGATTCTAGTTTACAACACTTCATTATGGTCCAACCACATTTCCTTCGAGCCACCCACTCGTTACAGCCCATTACTGTGATGGGCCACATATGAATAATCTTTTTCTCTCCGTGTAGCAAATGCATTTTCATTGTGATTTAAAAAATCTGTGAAGCTGATAGATTTCATATTTTTGAAGCCATTGGATCCAAAATGGAAGTCAATTCCTGGGTCAACTTTTCCTTACAGCTTTTTCATTTCAGCCTGTAGCAATGCTTTTATGAAAAGGAGCATCCTAAGTTTCAAATTATTCCATTCCACATTTTCAATAACTTTGGGTTCTATCCTTCCAAATTGAAAATTTTTTAAAGGAGACAGTAATATAGGATAAAAATATATTACAAATGTTAAGATTTAAATTTTAATTAACTTGATATTATTTAAATGAAATTATTTAGTTAAACTTAAGATTTATAGAAAAATTTAAATTTGTTATAGAAGTAAATGTGTTCCCACTGGGACAAGATGAATGGAATCATAACCTCTCCCTCCATATATCAAAGAACCATCCACTGTAACACCATGACTGTAGGGTGGTTGAGTTATCTTGGTCACTAGGACTTTAAGGTTTAAAAACTTCAAAAAGCTAGACATAATCATTTTACCCAAGATGGGTGTTGGGTTGATTTGCACTAAACATCTTTGATGGTGCAATCTTCAAAACCCCATTAATGGAATTGAAAAGGACCCAAAAGGTTCTGTAGGCTTAGCACAAGGGAATTATATTTTAGTGGGAGAATATAATGTCTTCACCCATCTTTTATAACCCACCCTAGAAAAAGAATAATTTTATTGGTTCCCCCTCTAACATGCTCAGCCTAATTTGGTTTTGATTGATTCAACCATGGAATAATGATCTCTTAGCTTTACTTCTACTCCACTAGCCCCTATATTATATATATATATATATATATAAATATATATCACCCTACCAAATTGATATGCCTTAAAAGTAAACAGATGGCAGGCCTTAAAACTCCCAAATAAAGGGATTTGCATTGTGGAAGAGCCATGATTCTAGATGGCTAGTGCTCCTTCTCTATTTCTATCTCTCTCTCTCTCTCCCTCGTTTTCTATCTCTATCTCTATCTCTTACAACTTGTTCTTTGGGAGTGGGGCAATGTCATAAAGGGGAAATGTGTTCTAGGGGAACAAAAGAATCAAATCAATTTTAAGGTGATGAACCAGTACCAGTGTGCCCCAATTCCACGTTTAAACAATGAATCCAAGAAAAAAAAATTAGAGGAAAGAAAGGTTGAGATTCACATCTAGGGCCCCATAGCCTTAATTGGGTCCATATTTCATGTTCAGCTGCGTGCACTCCATCCCCTTCAAAACCCATCCACCTCCAAGGAATAAATGGATAAATCGACAAAGTGGGCTGCTTTATGGTAAACCTTTCCATCTCTTTACACAACTGGGACCCATACCCCCCTATATTTTTCGTTGTCTTGGACTGTGGCCACTCATCAAGGATTCAAAGATTAGGGACAAAGACATGGATGTCGATACTGGGAAACCCTATTTTGTGTCAGATAATGGGTCCCAAACACTGAAAAAAATACCAATACAAATAAATAATTGGGGTGGGGTTAATGTGTCATTTTCAAACTTGTTTGATATCAGAGGGCTGGCAAACATGTGGGACGAACAAATACGTTGTCTTGATAGCCTGTTATGTTACTTTCCTCTTGATATGGGCCATGTTGTAAAAAGGATGAGCCTTATTCTCTTTGCGACAAAGT